AAATTATTTTTTATAAATCCACACCTGAATATAGGCTCAACAACTATTTTTTATAAATCCACGCCTGAATATAGGCTCATCATATAGGCCTCATCATGGCTTCAAAAAATAATTTTTAAAAATCCACACTTCAAAAAATCTTGAGGCCTTTTCCGATTCTTTTTTCTCAGTGTATAATCAAAATCCCTTAGCCTTAGTGCGGACGCATACAATGTTTGGAACATTCGTAGTATTTTCTTCGCCGTTTTTTTGAAGTCAATTATTTTTTATAAATCCACGCCTTGCTAAAGTCTCCAAAAATTATTTTTTATAAATCCACGCTTTGCTAAAGTCTCCAAAAATTATTTTTTATAAATCCACGCCTTGATAAAGTCTCCAAAAATTATTTTTTATAAATCCACGCCTGAATATAGACTTCAAAAATTATTTTTTTACAAATCCACGCCTGAATGTAGGCTTCAAAAAATATTTTTATAAATCCACGCCTGAATATAGGCTTCAAAAATTATTTTTTAAAATCCATACCTGAATAAAGACTCAACAACTATGTTTTATAAATCCACGCCTGAATATAGGCTTCAAAAATTATTTTTATAAATCCACGCCTGAATATAGGCTTCAAAAATTATTTTTTATAAATCCACACCTGAATATAGGCTCAACAACTATTTTTTTTAAATCCTCGCCTGAATATAGGCTCATCATATAGGCCTCATCATGGGCTTCAAAAAATAATTTTTAAAAATCCACACTTCAAAAAATCTTGAGGCCTTTTTCGATACTTTTTTCTCAGTGTATAATCAAAATTCCTTAGCCTTAGTGCGGACGCATACAATGTTTGGAACATTCGTAGTATTTTCTTCGCCGTTTTTTTGAAGTCAATTATTTTTTATAAATCCACGCCTGAATATAGGCTTCAAAAATTATTTTTTATAAATCCACGCCTGAATATAGGCTTCAAAAATTATTTTTTATAAATCCACACCTGAATATAGGCTCAACAACTATTTTTTATAAATCCACACCTGAATATAGGCTCATAATATAGGCCTCATCGTAGGCTTCAAAAAATAATTTTTAAAAATCCACACTTCAAAAAAACTTGAGGTCTTTCTCAGTGTATAATCAAAATCTCTTAGCCTTAGCGCGGACGCATACAATGTTTGGACCCTTCGTAGTATTTTCTTTGCCGTTTTTATTTCAATGACAGGTCGTTGTCATTGTCGTAAATGTTCGTATTTTTGTTGTTGTTGTTTTCCTCCAAACTTATTTTTCTCCTGTTGACATGTTTGTTGTCATATGCACGCATAGAATTTCCCCCACCTTTCCTCGTCCTCCACCAGCATAGATAAATTTCTCCACCAGCATAGATAAGTTTTTGTTGTTGTTGTTTATTTTGACAAAATTGTGCATCAATTTGAGTTGTTCTCGCCCCTGTTGTCCTCTGATGCTGACGATGATGATGGCTCTGATTTTAAATGAATTTTCCCCAAGGAAACCCCCAGCACAACAACAAAAACTTTTCTTAGCAACAAACACAATGACAACAACAACTATTATCATTGTCATCAGCAACAGCAAATGACCTTAAATTATGGGGGAGTGTATGTGTGTGTGCGCGTCTCTTGGCTTTTATTTTCATTGGTGAGGTGTGTCTTGTAATGGTGTGTATGTGTGTGTCTCTGTGAGTGAGTGGAATTTGTTAATTATGCCGAATAAAAACAGAATACCAGCTGAGTTTTATTTGTTCTGAGGGGAGGTGGGTATTGTGGGTAGACCTGATATAATTTTAATATACCTGATGCTTCTTGCAGTCACAAACATTTGTAAAATTCTTCGGGGTGCCATAATTTTTAACTTCAATTTTTATGGCATCTCTATTTTTGGTAGTGGAATTGCTGTGCTGACCTTTTTCAAACTTCTTCGATGAAATTTCGAAGACATTAACTGTCACCATTAACATGTTATTGACAGCTAATACCAATTCTAATAAAATAGCAATCAAAATGGGATAATGTCAAAGTATTTGCTTAAAGAGATATTTCTTTTTCGAAGGACCATAATTAGTGTCTGTTTGGTAGAGAATTTACAATGGCATTTGATGGACATTTTATGAAAAATGAAATGAAAGAAAAATTAAGGAAATGAAAACCAAATTTTTTGTGGAAAGCAATTAAATTGTATCGAATAAAATCTACATCTTCCGAAGTCAGATGTAGATTTTATTTGGACAAACTATATATTTCTTGTGGACATAAAACCACAAAATATTTCACTTGACAAAATTTTTATTTTTGTGTAATACTTTGGAATGCTGTTTTGTCATCACACTTTTTTTGTTATTTTAAGATTTTCATTTTATGACGCAATTTTTAAAGGGCCAAGACCATCCCAAGGGTATATTTATTCCTCAGGGTGTAGTCGGATGTATATTTATAATTTGAAAATCGTAAAGTGTAAATCCCAACGGCCTACTTTATGACATTACAAGGGAAGAGTTATGTTCACATTGAAGTCAAATATATTGTCCATAATAATTTTTCTAAAGTTTTTATATAGGCGTGTATGTATAAAAATTATGAGGTTTGAGGTTTATGTATATTCGAGGATTTATAAATATGTATACCCTTCACCATCCTGTGATACAGGGTATTATGCCTTTGTGCATATGTTTGTAACAGGCAAAAGGAAACGAGATAAACCCATAGTTCCTTTTGAGAATATGCATAGAATTACTTTCTGAGTCGATTTATGAATGTCTGTCCGTCCGTCTGTCCATCTGTCAGTGTTAAATTGTAAACAAAGTACAGGTCGCATTTATAATCCGAATTGAATGAAATTTGGCACAGCTCAATTATTTGGCCCAAGGGCGACCCCTATTGGAATTGTGAAAAATCGGTTGAGATTTAGATATAGCTCTCATATATATAGTTTCGTCCGAATGGTGCACCATGTCCCTACACATCTTTCGATTTGCACGAGATTTAGATATAGCTGCCATATATAGTTTCATCCGATTTAATAAAAATGGTGCACCAAAGTCCCTATATATCCTTCGATTTGCACGAAATTTAGCATAACGTACTGAATTGAGCCTAGAGTGATGTCTGCTAAATTTCATGAAAATCGGGGAAGATTTAGATATAGCTCCCATATATTTAATAAAAATGGTGCAAGAAAGTCCCTATATATCTTTCGATTTGCACGAAATTTGGCATAACGTACTGAATTTCGCCTAGAGTGATGTCTGTCAAGTTTCGTGAAAATCAGTTCAGATTTAGATATAGCTCCTATATATATTTTCGTCCGATTTTAGGTAAATAGTGCACCAAAGTCCCTATATATCCTTCGATTTGCACGAAATTTGGCATAGCGTACTGTGTTAGGTCTAGAAAGACGTGTGTTATATTTCGTGAAAATCGGTTCAGATTTACATATAGCTCCCATATATAGTTTCGTCCAATTTAATGTAAATGGTGCACCAAAGTCCCAATATATCAATCGATTTGTACGAAATCTAGCACGACGTACTGAACTGAGCCTAGAGTGATGTCTGCCAAGTTTCATGAAAATCGGGCTAGATTTAGATATAGCTCCAATATATAGCTTCGTCCGATTTAATGTAAATGGTGCTCCAAATTCCCTATATATCCTTCGATTTGCACGAAATTTGGCACAGCAAACTGAATTAAGTCTAGAACGATGTGTGTTAAATTTCGTGAAAATCGGTTCATATTTCGATATAGCTCCCATATATATTTTCGTCCGATGTTAGGTAAATAGTGCACCAAAGTCCCTATATATCCTTCGATTTCCACGAAATTTGGCACAGCCAACTGAATTAAGTCTAGAACAATGTGTGTTAAATTTCGTGAAAATCAGTTCAGATTTAGATATAGCTCCCATATATATGTTCGTCCGATTTTAGGTAAATAGTGCACCAATGTCTCTATATGTCCTTCGATCTGCACGAAATTTGGCACAGCAAACTGAATTAAGTCTAGAACGATGTGTGTCAAATTTCATGAAAATCGGTTCATATTTAGATATAGCTCCCATATATATTTTCGTCCGATTTTCGGTAAATAATGCACCAAAGTCCCTATATATCCTTCGATTTCCACGAAATTTGGCATAGCATTCGGAATTAAGTCTAGAACGATGGGTGTTAAATTTTGTGAAAATTGGTTCATATTTAGATATAGCTCCCATATATATTTTCTTCCGATTTTCGGTAAAGAGTGCACCAAGGTCCCTATATATCATTCGATTTGCACGAAATTTGGCACAGCAAACTAAATTAAGTCTAGAACGATGTGTGTTAAATTTCATGAAAATCTGACTAAATTTAGATATAGCTCCCATATATATTTTCGTCCGATTATAGATAAATAGTGTACCAAAGTCCCCATATATCCTTCGAAATTTGGCATAGCGTACTGTATTAAGTCTAGAACTATGTGTGTTAAATTTCGTAAAAATCGGTTCAGATTTAGATATAGCTCCCATATATATTTTCGTCCGATTATAGGTAAATAGTGCAACAAAGTTCCTATATATCCTTCGAAATTTGGCATAGCGTACTGTGTTAAGTCTAGAACGATGTGTGTTAAATTTCGTGAAAATCGGTTCTGATTTAGATATAGCTCCCATACCTACTTTCGTCCGATTTTCGGTAAATAATGCACCATAGTCCCAATGTATCCTTCGATTTGCACGAAATTCGGCACAGCGTACTGAATTAAGTCTAGAACGGTGTGTTTTAAATTTCGTGAATGAAATGTTTAATTTCATGTTAATTGTCCTTCAAAAATGCGACTTCTGTTAGGATCCCGGCTGTTGAATATACCCAAAGTGGTAAAGGGTATCATATAGTCGACCCCGTCCGACTTTACTACTTTCCTTACTGGTTTACTTTATAATTTTTTATCCCCACAAATTCATTTTCCATTCCTTAAACACCATAACTAATAAAATGTTTCTTCTTCCTCTCATTATAGATTTGATGCCCGTGGCAAACCACTACACCAAGGCATACCATGGGCCGACGAGAATGTTTTCAATAAAAAAGCCCACTTTTATTATGACTCAAATCCGCCAGCTTTAAGGATTAAAAATATTCAGCCAAGTGATGCCGGTCTGTATAAATGTCGGGTGGATTTTCATAAATCACCGACGCGTAATTGGAGGATAAATGTAACCGTATTGGGTAAGTAGATGATGCCGAGGGGGAGGGGGGAGGGGAGGAGCACAGAGTGATGTCTGCTGCCTCTGGTTTTTTTATTAATATCAACATTTCATTTTATGGGCAATAAGTCAGTGGGTGTTTCAATTAAAGTTGCGTTAAAAAAAAGAAAAAAATGTCAACAATGAGGGGGCAGCAGGGGGAAATTGAGGAAACATTTTTATGTGGAGAAAATTTAAAATTTTATTTTTAGAATACCTTGAAATTTTTTCGTTTTTGTTTAATGACTTTAAATAAATTTCCCATAATTTAATTTAAAGTGCCTGCCGAAGTTTTTTATTTTATGTTTTCCTTCTTGTTTTTCTGTGTGTTCCAGTCCCACCCACCCATCTAACAATATTGGATAATGAAGGAGCCGCCATCAGAGACCAAAAAGCCGGCCCTTATTTGGAAGGTGAAAGCCTGAACATAACATGTTTATCAAGCGGCGGTGTGCCACCACCACGTGTCTCCTGGTGGCGTGAACATGCTTTGGTCGATGATTCATATGAAGTCCTGCCAGATGGCACCGTGCGCAATACATTGCAGTTGAAAAATATTTCACGCAAAGATTTATTAACGGTAAGTGGTAGTACATAGTTCGAGATGTCCTTTAGCAAAATAAACGACCATGGTCAAGCGAGAGAGGGAGGGAAGAGAGGAGATCCGCTTAGCTTTTTTGTTAGTTATCTCCCAGTCACTTGCTGTGGGATGCTTTGTGTTTTGTGTCTGTGTCTCTTCTATGTAATGTGTCCTGCAACCATAAGTCGTGTCTGTGGGAGACACTAAGTTTTTTTTTGTTGTTGTTGGTTATCCTTATTTAACGAACCATGCTAACAACGAATATCAACATCATCATCACTGCCGGAGGCATACTTAAAGGCCAAACTGTTTTATTTTTTTTCGTGGGGAACTTTTTTGTTGTTGTTGTTTTTTGCCGTTCACCTACATTTCTTAAAAATAATGAATAGCCATTTTTTATACGGTAGCCGATGTTTCCCATCTATTCTGCAAAGCTAAGGATTTTCTTTTTTTTTATCTTCTTCTCGTTTGCAATTGAACTTTGGGTATTTTTCCCATTTTTCTTTGCATTCATTCTTTGGTTTGAATTTCTGTTTTATTTCTTGCGATTTTTTTTATAAATTTCTTTTATGTTAACTTATATTGAATTTTTTAGTTAGAATCTTTTTTTAAAGGGAATCCAGAAACTATTTAAGTGGATTTGTGGTTTTTCCTTTTAAGCTGAACCGTATTTTTTGCATCATCGTCGGAATGGAATATTTAGTGACATTGACTTGTATAAAAGAAAAATTGATGGCTCTCGGTTGTAGTGGAAAAGCGGATTACATAGTAATCATGAAGGGAATAAAAAAAACTTATTTTAAATGGAGACGCTAACATGATAGAAAATCTAGGCGGAATAATCTAGTTTAGGTACCTCAAGATCTGACCAAAAAAGAAACAAAAATATTTCAATACAAATATTTAAAATAGCACCGTTTTCAAAGAATTAGTAATAAGAATTTAGATTTTTAAATATTATTTTCAGAACCTTTAGTAACTTGGATATCCAAAAGAAGGAGGTTTCCATTTATTTTTTTATAAATTCACACACGTATATAAGACTCCAAAAAAAATTTTATAAATTAACCCCTTAAAGCACATCCAAAAAGTTTTCTTACATTCCACGCCTATTTATAGACTTCAAAAAATATTTTTAGGAAGCCACGCCTATATATCGTCCTCAACATTTTTTTATATATTTAAACCAGTAAGGAAAGTAGTAAAGTCGGACTGGGCCGACTATATGATACCCTTCACTACTTTGGGTATATTCTACATATGTCTCCTAACAGACAAAATTTCATTTCATTCGGGCGGGTTTAGAGTCGCTTGCGTACTATGTGTGGAATTTTGTAAATCGATTTTATGGTACGTTTCGTGTCAACCGGAGCAACATTTACCTAAACACCAAGGAACATACAAATGGGTGCTATATGCACATCTGAACCGATTTCAACAAAATTATATGTCACTCGTACAAACTTTGGGTCTTTAGTGCACACTTTACATAAAATCGAAGGAAAATATATATGGCAGTTATATCTAAATCTGAAACGAATTTCACGAAACTTTGCACACATCTTTCTATACTTAATTGCGTACGCTGTGCCAAATTCTTGCAAATCGAAAGATATATAGGGACTTTGGTGCACCATTTACATAAAATCGGACGAAACTATATATGGGAGCTATATCTAAATCTGAACCGATTTTCACAAAACTTAGCACACTTCATACTAGACTAAATTCAGTACACTATGGCAAACTTCGTGTAAATCGAATGATTTTCAGAGATTTTGGCGCACCAATTACCTAAAATCGGATGAAACTATATATGGGAGCTATATATAAATCTGAACCGATTTTCACGAAATTAAACTCACATCATTCTAGACCTATTTCATTACGCTGTGTCAAATTTGGTGCAAATCGAAAGATATATACGGACTTTGGTGCACCAATTACATGAAATCGGACGAAAATACATATGGGAGCTATATCTAAATCTGAACCGATTTTCACGAAACTTTGCACACGTCACTCTAGACTTAATTCCATACGATGTGCCAATTTTTTGCAAATCGAAGGATATGAGGACTTTTGTACAAAATTCACACAAAGGCGGACGAAAATATGTTTGCCAGCTATATCTAAATAATTTCAATAGGGTTCGTCTTTGAGCCAAACAAATGAGCTGTACCAAATTTCATCCAAATCGGATTATAAATGCGATCTGTACTGTGATCTGTCAGACGAACGGACATGCATAAGTCGACTCAGAATATGATTCAATGCATATTGTCAAAAGGAACCATATGTCTATCTCGTTTCCTTTTGCCTGTTGCAAACATATGCACAGAGACATAATACCCTGTACCATAGTGTGGTGAAAGGTATAACAATCGTATAGGCAATCTTCTAAAAAATTCTACTTCTCCCAAATTGTTAAATAATATAATTTAAAGCCTAAAGAGCATTTGTATCTCTAGAAGACCTCAGTTACATTTTTGTCTTAATTTTTGTGTGTTCTTCTTCTAATACCTAGGTGTCTCTACTAAATATCTTTCATTTTATTGATACAATTCTGCAAATCCAACTTAAGGGTCCTTTTGGAAAGCAACAAAGACAAAACACTGTCCTTGTATGAAAATAAATGACCAACATTTAAATAAATCCCCACTTTGCCTCTCATTCCTCCTTTTCTTCGTTTCCTCAACCTACATCAAAAAAGAGAAAAAAATCTCAAATAGGAAATTTATAAATTGGCAGTATAAAAAATGAAGCTTTTCTGCAGCCAATTTCAAATATGTCTGAAAGGGAAGAGTAAGAGGAAGCAAGATGGAATACGAAGAACTAGAACAAAATACGATTTAAAAGGTACAAAACCGTAAAACTTAATACGTTGATATATCAAAACGAGAAAAAAAATAAAAAAAATATGTAGAGCAAAAATAGCAGTGACATTTGTCACAGACATAAGCACACACACATCCGCTCGCACACACCGTCTGTCACTGATGATGGTGGTTCCGTAAATATCAGGACAATGCCACACAGCAGAAGTAGAAAGCTATTTAGTTATGCTAAGCGGTAAAGGAAGCATAAAATTTCTAATGTTTGAAAATTTCATTCAAGCATTATTCTTATTCTTATTTTTTTTTTTTTTTTTTTTTTTGAAAATCTGGAGGATAAGATTGTGATTTGAAAGAGGGAAAGGCGATATGGGTGTTGAGTATGAAAAATGAAAAATATATATATTTTTGCTACCGAACAATAAAATCAAGGTAAGATGAAATATTTGCCCAAGGTTCTATTTGCTGTAAATGGTTTTTGTGCCAAATCTTATTTAAAAATTGGTACTTATTTTAATGTGAGTGTATGTGTGTGACTTAAACATATTGATAGCAAGAGATTGGGTGGGTGGGTGTAAACTGAACATAAGGAATCTGTTATTTTTTGAGATATTGTGGTTTAGGAAAAGAAAAAAAATATTGTAAAGAATATATCGCATAAATAAATCCAAGGACATTAAGCTGACAAATCTGGTAATGGTCTGACATGGAATTAAAGGAACAACAACAAAAATATTGGTAAAAATATCCAACATCTTGAAAGTAATATTTTTTTAATCCAGGCTTTTTGATTTTCTTTACAAATTAAAAAAAATCAAATTTTTGGTGATCTACGAAAATGAATTTTCTAAATCCTATAGATAGGCTTGGATTTTTTAAAACAAATATTTTTTGAGGTCTTCATTTAGGCTTGTGTTAAAAAAACATTTTTAAGGTGGGCTTAAATAATAAACAAACCAGTAAGGAAAGTTGTAAAGTCGGACTGAGCCGACTATATGATACCCTTCACCACTTTGGGTATATTCTACATATGTATCCTTACAATTACATGCCAATAGAAGGAACATGATCATATCTTTCTGCAACCTATGATAAATTTAATTTTATTCGGGCAGATTTAGAGTCGTCTGCGTACCATAGGACACATTTATGGAAAACTATTTAAAGCAAATTGATACACGCTATTCGGTACGTCGTACTGCTAAGAATTTAATTTCAATCAGACACCCGTTCGAAATACATATGGAAGCTATGACTGCATCTGCACCAATTTCAACAAAACGCAATAACGCCATTCAATTTTCAATTTGATACGTTGTGCAAAATTTCGTGTTAATGGGGCAAACACTAGGAGTTTGGTGCTCCATCTATGTAAAATCGGGCAGAAATATATATGGGAGCTATATCAAATCTGAACCGATTTTCACGAAACTTAACACCCATCATTCTAGAGTTTCGTGCAAATCGAAAGATATATAGGGTCTTTGGGTAGGGTTTAAATCGGACGAAAATATATATGGAAGATATATCTATATCTTAACCGATTTTTACGAAACTTAGCGCATATCTTTCTAGACTCAATTCAGTATGCTGTGCCAAATTTGGTGCACTATTTACCTCAAATCGGACGAAACTATATATGGGAGCTATATCGAAATCTGAACCGATTTCCACGAAACTTAGCTCACATCATTCTGGACCTAATTCATTACGCTGTGCCAAATTTCGTGCAAATCGAAAGATATATATTGACTTTGGTGCACCATTTACATTAAATCAGAGGAAAATATATATGGGAGCTATATCTAAATCTGAACCGATTTTCAGGAAACTTAACACACATCATACTAGACCTAATCCATTATGCTATGTCAAATTTCGTGCAAATCGAAAGATATGTAGGAACTTAGGTGTACCATTTACATGAAATCGGCCGAAACTATATATGGGAGCTATATCTAAATCAGGACCGATTTTAATGAAACTTGGCAGACATCATTCTAGGCTCAATTAAGTACGTTATGCCAAATTTCGCGCAAATCGAAGGATATATAGGGACCTTGGTACACAATTTACCTTAAATCAGAGGAAAATATATATGGGAGCTATATCTAAATCTGAACCGATTTTCAGGAAACTTAACACTCATCATACTAGACCTAATCC